AGTGAACATTCTTCTCCCCCCTCCCCATCTAGAGAGAATTCCTCTGAGCACTCTTCCTCTACTGATGAAGAGATCAAGTCTTGTGAAGACGATTTGTTAATAGCAAGGCAGATGTTGGGTCAAGTCCAAAATGACCTTGACAATTCCCAAAAAGAAAACATTTTTCATACTCATTGTCTCATTAATAACAAGTTATGTTCACTAATGATTGATGGAGGAAGTTATGTGAACGTGGCTAGCACGAGGGTAGTAGACAAGCTTGGTCTACCTACTACTCCTCATGGCAAGCCTTACAAGCTTTTTTGGTTTAGTGAGAAAGGTGTGATTGAGGTAAATAAACAAGTTCTCGTTAGCTTTGCGATAGGGAAATACAAGGACAAAGTTCTTTGTGATATTGTGCCTATGGAAGCTTCACATATTTTACTCAGTAGATCATGACAATTTGACAAACAAACTTTTCATGATAGCTATACCAATACATTTTCTTTTAACTTCCAAAGACATAAGATTACACTAAAACCTCTATCCCCACAAGAGGTTAGTGAGGACCAATAAAAAATGCAAAAAAAGAGAAAAGAAGAAAAAGAAAAAGAGAAAAAGTCAAAGGGCACCATGATCTCCCACAAGCGAACTAAGAAGGTATTAATATCTAATAAACCCCTATTCTTAGCTTACCCTCCTCTAAGGTCATCTTCTGCATTTCATGAGCAACCCTCTAATTCTTCTAAAAGTCTAGAGTTACTTTTGGATGAATTTCAGGATATTTTCCAAAAACCTTTTAAAGGGCTTCCACCTCTAAGCGAAATTGAATATCAAATTAACTTTATACCTGGTTCATTCATACCTAATCGTCTGACTTATAAAACAAACCCGGAGGAATCTAAAGAGATTCAAAGGCAAGTAAAGGGATTGATAGAAAAACAGTGGGTGCAAAACTGTAGGTCTATCAACAACGTAATAGGCAACTCATCCCTAGACTTGATGACTTGCTTAGTGAGATAAAATGTGCTAGCATATTTTCCAAGATTGATTTGAAGAGCGATCATAATCAGATAAGGATTAAAGAAAGAGATGAATGAAAAACAAGAAAAAAAATACAAAAAAGAGAGAGAAAGAGAGAGAAGAAAGAAAAGAAAGACAAGGGGATTAAAAATGTTTTGAGAATTCGTGGATGAATTCTCTTCAAGGCGATGAGGATGATGAATCCCTAGTTGTCCCGAAGACAGAAGAGATCATCCCTAGGAGAATTACTAGGAGCATGACTAAAAGGAAGATTTCCTCCTTACCTTTAATTTTTAATTTACTTAGTATTTTCTTTTCCTATGTTTTTGACTTATTTTCGTTTTTCTTTTGTAGTTTCATTTTTTACACCTCCTTTTTTTGAATAATACCACCTCTTTTTGTTGGAAAAGGGGACTTGGATACATAAGATATATGTGTGGGCAGCCCAAAGGTGTAGGACACTCATTTTTCATGTCCTACACCCCTTTTTGAAGAGGAAAAAACTTGGCTTGCGGGTTTGATTGACTTTGGACAACCCATAGAGGATCTCACCTCCTTTTTCATATTCTCCATACCGTTAAAGGTATTTTTGATGGGTAAGGATAAATTTAACATATTTAGACCATGAAGACACTAGCCTTTAGATTTAGGTTACGTTTATGTGTCTTTTTGTAATTTCATATAGGTCCCTCTCCCAAAAGCCTATAAATAGAAAGTTTCCTCTCATATAATTAGGTTGAACATTTATGACAAATTTGTGAGGTTTCTTAGGGTGTTCAATCTTTTTGAGTGTTTTATCTTGAACTTTGGTTCAAGTAGCGACAACCACCACTTATCTAGGGTGACTCATCCCCTAGTGGCCTGCCAACACTCCACCACCATACTTCTATTCTCTTCATCTTTTCTTCTTTATTTCTTCACTCCATTTATTTATCTAAGGGACTGGTCCATTTTTCTAGCCATTGTCTTTATTCTTTTCTAGTTTCATTCCATCTCCTCATCCCTCAACAATCCTTGGAAATGAACCTTCACATTTAGATAAATAACTATTTTAATGTTCAGTGAGAATTTTTCTTGGGTTTATTTACTTTATTGCTTTAATTTTTACACCTTATCTTCTTAAACATTATGTACCTTATTTTATTTTACATCATTTGAACTATAAAATGCAGGAGCGACTTACGAATGACTTCAACAGAGTTTTCAAAGACTTGATTAGAGATTGTATAAAAGTTTATATAAATGACATGGTGGTAAAATAAGCTAACATGGTCAACCATTATCATCACCTTAACATAGTTTTTTAGAAATACGATGACACATAAAGGAAATGAGGCTAATTCAAACAAATACGAAACCATAATCACTTCATGTAGTCTACTAGACGTAAAAGAGGTTCAATGCTTAAATGAAAAACTAAACATAGGTTCGTTTTCTCCTAAAATTAATTAAGAAAACTTGATCCTTCTATAAACTACTTAAATCCTATTGTAAACTTGAGTGAATCAATAAATTTATAAAAAATAGTTTTATCAATGGAAGTCTAACAATTGAAGGCACTTAGAAGTTAACTAAAGTTGATGGGAACATTAATACACTAAACACATTTAACATTGGTTAAAAAAGACATTTTTATATCAATTATTGGTAGATGTAGAAAGATAATTTTTTGATTGTCACAAAAGGAGGTATAAGGGAGGGGAAACATGTTGTGGAAGGATAAAATAGTATTATGATAATAAGAATGAATGAGACAAGAATAAACATCATCATGAGGCTCATTATTGGTGCAATATGTGTGGAATAAAAGGGTTGAAGGTAAAATGATTATAAAAATTCACCTACATTGCATAGATTATGCTTGTAATCGATATATGTTACCTCAATTTTGTACTCGCTTATGTATATTTATATATTTTTCAATGATGTTGTTTGTATATTATAAAAATGTGTATATTTATATTGGTGGAAGATTGTTGGGGGGGGGGCGGGGGTGACAATGTTAGGTTAACTAGACATTTTAACCCTTAACTAGTTTAGGTTTATCTCATGTAACTTGTGGGCCAAATTATAAGATAGAGCTTACCCAAACATTTATTTTAAAATATTTAAATTAATAAGTTATCTACAAATTAATAATCTTATATTATTTATTAATTTTGGGTCACCACTCATAATAAAATTTCACTTTAATTTTTTTAACTTGATTTAAAATTAATTATAATTAGAGGTAACCGTGATATAACTAGGTGAATATCACATAAATATTTAAAACAAATGTCGAAAATAAATAAAAAATAGATATTCAATTTAAATTTATAATAATTAAATTTTCTTCTTAAAGATAAGTTATTATTATTATATTTATTTTGATTTTATGAATTGAACTTTTAAGAAAATAATATGATAAACAATATGTTTGTAATGTACCATTATTTTAAAAATTATTATGTGGGTTAGCAGTATATGTAGCTGATAAACTCACACGTATGAATTTGATTATTTGAGGAGGAAGGTTATTTTGTATATTGTAAAAATAATTAATTATTTAATGTAAGTTGTATTTGAGTGATTTTGAAAGATTTGAGGAAAATATATCACTTCAAAACAAAAGCAACAATGCTCCAAACCATATTTCATCAAGAAAAACAAATTAAATGTAAAATCTCTCATAATTGAGATAATAAGACAACTAAGAAGATCATTAATATAGTTATAAAAAAGGAATGAACGACGAAGAACTCCCAAAAATATTTCAACATTTTTTTAATATTAGCATTATTAATTCTCGATAACAATATTTTTACGAAGGAGCATTAAATATTTAAAATATTACTTCTTTATTATTTATCCATAGTTTTAAAATTTAAATTTCAAGTGACTTTATATTCATGATTTTTAATTTCAAATCCAAATGTTAATAATATTTAGAATTTCAAATAGGTCTTGACCATAATTGTCAAGGCTTGTTTATAAATAACTTTTAGTTTTTTAAACTAAAAATTTGTTTATTAATAATTTTATTAAAGTATATTTTTAAATAATATTTTTATTTTTAATTTAAAAAATATTTTGCTTAATTTTAGTATTATAATTTTATTAATAATATCAATGAATTTTTTAATAATCACATTACATTATTTTCTTATCATCATAAAATTATGATTATAATTTTTATGGTTGTAATTTTTTTAATTTTTAATTTATACTTATTGAATAAGTTTTGTTTAACTTATTTTTAAAAATTAAAAAACAAAATTAAATGAAAAAAGAAGCTCTTATATTCAATATTTTAAAAAGAATACAAAGACGAACAAAAGTCATCCTAACAAACTTAAACAAATCTCATAATTATTCTTTTCTTATTATTTAGGAACAATAATTTATTTATTTTGACAATTACTTTTCAATATTTATATTTCTGAAAGAAAATTGAGTTTAATCGTTAATATAAACGACATAATTTCCCTAGAATTTGCCCCAATCTTAATAATAATAGTATTTTTATTATTATTATTATTATTATTATTATTATTATTCTCCTCCCTCGGTGGTCACGGTTCAGGTCAGGAACGTTTTTCCCTTGCGGTGAGAAGCCGTTACTCTGTTACCGTGCGCACTTCACACAAACACACCATACTCTCTTTCTTTTTCTAAGAGGATTCAGGAGAGAACGTAACATAATAGCAATTGCAGAACACAGGTGCCTCAATCTCACTACTTTGCCCCTTTTTTTTTAATACATTTATTTGCATTTACCTTTCCCTATCCATATATCTTCTCATTGAGTGTGTTGTGTGTGTTTTCTTATCGTTTTCCTTTATTCAGCTTGTGGTTCTTCACTATCTATATGATATTACTCGCTTTTCTTCAATTAGGATTTCGATTATGTTCATTGAAGCGCGAGGGTTGGTAATCTGGTGATGGAGAAGTGGACGAAAGCGACGGCATAAAGGAATCGTTCCGAAATTGTTGTTTGGAAAACCTAGGGTTGCGATATGGAGGGAGAGGATATTAGGTCTGGGACCAGGAAGAAGCGATCCAAGAAGGAAATTGGTTTTGACTCTGACGACGACGAGCCCATTGGGTCAATCTTTAAGCTAAAGAGGTCCAGGAAGAAGGGTAGTGGTAGTGGTGATGCTGTTAGGGAGAAGGAGGATTTGGGGGGTATGGATGATAATGATACCTTGGCTAGCTTTAGGAAGAGATTGAAGGGTCCTAAGAGAGATCAGGGATCTGGGGTTGCAAGAGGAGCTAGTCTTGCTTTGCATGTGCCTGATGAAGATTTGGTTGGTTTGGGAGCTAAGGGTAGGGATGAGAAAGGGGTGGCCTTGGTGCCTGGTGGTGAGGACATGCAGATGCACGATTCTTCTGATCAACACATGGAGGATTCGTTGTCTGCAATTTTTCACAAGGCACAGTCTAGTTCTGCTAGGAAATCTCGTGGGGGTTCGCGGCACAAAAGGGGGATTCAGAAGGTGGATAGTGGGTTGAGCCATGCAGGTTTTGTGGAAGCTGTGGATTCTGTGGTTGAAAGTAGATCTGGATCTGCTTCTGGCTCGAAATTGGTTGTGGGGAATGTCATGACTGATGATGCTTTGCCTCAAGCGTCTGAACCGGTTATAACATCTGTGGTGGAGGATCAAAAGTGTGTTGATGACTGTTTTCAAGAGGAAACTACAAAGGGTGAATGTGATTTGGACATTCCAGATGGACGGACTACGTCAAATGATGTCTATCATGGAGATAGGCATCATGCTTCTTGTGTTGCACAAGATGAAGAAATTTGTTGTGATTCTGACCAGAAGATTGCATTGCAGGAATGTGTTATCGGTGGTGGTTTAAATAAGTTATCTTCCGTGTTACATGATGAAATAGTTGATACTGCCTCTCTCTCCAAAGTGGGGGAAGGGGAAAGGCGATATACTGAGGTTGGAGAGTTTGCGAATAGATTGACTGATAAACTTGCACAAGCGTGCACCAGTGCTTCAGAACATGATGTTTCTACTTCTGCAGGGAAAGAAAATGTATTAACATCTTGCCACACTGAAAATATATTGAAAGAGAGTAATAATATGGTTTGTGGAAAAGTTTTTCAGGAATCTTCGTGTAATGGAGCTCTAAAGTTATCTGGATGCCATATGGAAGTAGATGGAGGTGGAAAATCAGAAACTGAGTTTGTTTCTGATAGAAATTTCTGTGATAATAGTAATTTAAATACAAAGGCTGAAGTGCAAGGTTGTGTTCTAGATTTTTTGCCTAAAAGAAATGATGTAACTGTTAGTGGTTCTTCTTTGGTGTCCAATGAAGCTGAATTGGCTGGCCACTCAAATCACCCAGAGAAAACTGTAGAAGCTTGCAATATTCCAAAAGACTCCACTGCTTCAATTCTGAAATGTAGTTCAGGTTTTGATCCAATTCAATCAGATGGATCCTCTCTTCAATCTTCAATTCCAGATGAAAATGGGAACTCTGCAGAATACCATCCCTCTGTGTCTGATTTTGTTGATAACGATGGTAAGATATCAAGCATTCCACGGGTGCGAAGGGCCAAAATGCGTAAGCATGGAGACATGACATATGAGGGGGATGCTGATTGGGAGATTTTAATTAGTGATCAAGCTTTAAATGAAAATCAAGTTATGACAGATAGTGACCGCACTCTTAGAACAAGAATGAAGCATGATTCCTCTTTGAATACTGGGGAAGATTCTGAAAATGTTGCAGTAGTAGCAGTATCAGCTGGGCTGAAAGCCCGTAAAGCTGGTCCAATAGAGAAAATAAAGTTTAAAGAGATCTTCAAGCGTAAAGGTGGTCTCAAGGAATATTTGGATTGCAGGTAGTTAAGTTTTCAAACAGGTCTTTCCTTTTGCAGACAGGGGTTCTTTGATATTTTGGTGTCTTGTGCTTGAAATACAGAGAATTCTTTTTGATTCTTTGTGACTGATGATCCACTGTGTTATTTGTTTTAGTTGCTTAAACATGAAAATTAGGATTTTTTTTTTTACTTTCGTGACTGATGATTGAATGTGTTTTTAGTTTTAGTTGCTTAAAAGTGAAATTTGGGTATTGAACTGTTGCTGTATGTTATTAAGTTTCTGGTTAATTCACATGTATATTTAGTTGGGTTGAGAGCTGAACAACTCGTTAGTGGACATTTAAAAGAAACTTAAATGCAAAATTAACTCGCACATATGGTTAGACGCATGTTTATTGGTTCAATTTTCCTCCTTGTTGGTCATTGTCTCTGATTTGATATTTGTTTGTATATTTTCTGGTTAAGGGCCTTCCTCCTATATTTGCTGGAACTGGGAAAGTTTACAATGCCTACTTCCTATATTGGACGAAATTTTTCTCCCTCTTTTTTTTTTTTTTTTTGTTTATATGGAAATTCGTGTTTATTTGTATATTATGTGGTTCTGTTTTCCTCTTTATAATATTATATTGCTTATATAGGTCATAACATCACCCTTCCTCTCTCTTCTATCTTCTTTAAAAGTTTATTTGCAATTGAACTACTTAGTTTCATTATTTTATTTATGGTATTTAATTTTGTAATCCGGATATTTTTTCTGAAATTACATTTTGTTGTGTATGGATTTTATTCTGTTTTGGATTATCTTATTCCTGCTTAGAATGGAATAAGTTGCGGGGGTATTTGGTAATGCTGGGTCATTTTTATTATTATATAATATTTAATTTCCTTCATTCAAGTAGTATATGATATTTGACCTGTAGAAGCACCTTGCTATAGATGAGTACTCAACTTTTCATGGGAATATCATGCTGAGAGGAGTAATCTTGGCCTGTTCAACATCTCTTTGACACCATTTTAGAACTAGGTAGCCTGTTGTAATGAGTTTCACCTCATTTAATTTAATGCATTGCAGAAATCAGATTTTAAGCCTTTGGAGCAGAGATGTCACACGTATTTTGCCTCTTGCTGAATGTGGAGTTAGTGATACCGACTCTGAGGATGGAAGTCCTCGTTCTTCTCTTATTAGGGAGGTCTATGCATTTCTTGATCAATATGTAAGTTTGTTTTTTTATGTTAGTTGGTCTTCAGTTTTGCTTCAGCTTTTTTTAGTGAAATACTTGCTTTTATTTTATCTGGTTAGCTTTTTCAGAGTTTTGAAAGAAAAACATGGTTATTTCCTAAAATTAGTTTGTTACTAAACATAGGCGAACTGAGCCTTTTAAATGTTTGTTTTGGCTGAAAATAAAAACATATTGATGTTTGTTTTGGGTAAATTGAAACTTTAACATGATAAGATCATTTTCGCAGGGTTATATAAATGTTGGAATTGCCTCCCAGAAGGAGAATGTTGGGAGTAGTGCAAGGCATTGTTATAAACTGGTAAAAGAAAAAGGTTTTGAGGAAAGTCTTGCAGCTTCAGTGGCTGACTCTGAAGATGGAGTTTCCTTTCTTGTTGGCCAGACTAAAATGTCAGATACTTCCAATGAGATTAACAATGGTCTAACTAAGGATTGCAATGACCTAACAACTGAAGCTACAGAAGGCATGAGGCACACTAATGAAGTGATGGTGGATTTGTCAAACATAATACAACAGGCAGAAGGAAAAAAAATTGATTACCAGGAAATTGATGGGTTTCAGGATGGAACTATACATGTGGCTAATGACAGTTCTGTTCCTTCTTCCAACTTTGCTGATTGCAGATTGACTTCTCTGGTAGCTAAAGAGAAAAGCAATGACTCTACCTGCATTAGATCTGTCTCGCGTGGTCAGGTAGGTGACAATCTGCAGTCTGATTTATATCCTAGAAAGACAGTAATTGTCATTGGAGCTGGGCCTGCTGGGTTAACTGCTGCTCGCCACTTGCAACGTCAGGGATTTCCTGTAACTGTGCTTGAGGCTAGGAGTAGAATAGGAGGTCGTGTGTTTACTGACCACTCCTCACTTTCTGTCCCTGTTGATCTCGGTGCAAGCATTATAACCGGTGTTGAGGCTGATGTGGCCACTGAGAGAAGACCAGATCCTTCCTCATTGATATGTGCTCAGTTGGGCCTTGAGTTGACAGTGTTGAACAGTGATTGCCCTCTTTATGACATAGTGACAGAACAAAAAGTTCCTGCAGATATGGATGAAGCACTTGAAGCTGAATATAATAGTCTTATAGATGACATGGTATTGGTCCTTGCACAGAAAGGTGAACAGGCAATGAGAATGTCTCTTGAAGATGGTTTAGAATATGCCCTCAAGATTCGTCGGATGGCACGCTCTGAAAGCAGTGAAGAAACTGAACAAAATAATTCTGCAGATAGACAATGTGATTCCAAAAAGGATAGTACCGTGGATAAAAAACTTGATGAGGAGATATTGAGTCCTCAGGAGAGGAGGGTTATGGATTGGCACTTTGCTCATTTGGAGTATGGTTGTGCTGCTTCACTTAAGGATGTTTCTCTTCCCTACTGGAATCAAGATGACGTGTATGGAGGTTTTGGGGGAGCTCATTGTATGATTAAAGGGGGCTACAGTTCTGTTGTTGAGTCTCTGGGAGAAGGACTTACAATTCACTTGAACCATGTCGTAACAAATGTGTCATATGGTATCAAGGAACCTGGTCAGAGTTATAAAGTCAAAGTTTCTACATCAAATGGCAATGAGTTCTTTGGTGATGCTGTCCTTGTTACTGTTCCACTTGGCTGTTTGAAGGCTGAAACTATACAATTCTCCCCACCTTTGCCACAGTGGAAATGTTCTTCTGTTCAGCGTCTTGGTTATGGAGTTCTAAATAAAGTGGCCTTGGAATTTCCTACTGTATTTTGGGATGATGCGGTGGACTACTTTGGAGCAACAGCCGAGGAGAGAAACAGTAGAGGTCACTGCTTTATGTTCTGGAATGTCAGGAAAACAGTTGGAGCTCCTGTCCTTATTGCATTAGTGGTTGGTAAGGCAGCCATAGATGGTCAAAGCTTGAGCTCTTCTGATCATGTTAAACATGCATTGAAGGTTCTCCGTAAACTTTTTGGGCAGGATTCAGTTCCCGATCCTGTTGCCTATGTTGTGACTGATTGGGGTAATGATCCTTTTAGCTATGGTGCTTATTCTTACGTTGCTGTAGGAGCCTCAGGAGAAGACTATGATATATTAGGGAGACCAGTTGAAAATTGCTTGTTTTTTGCTGGTGAAGCAACCTGCAAAGAGCACCCAGATACTGTTGGTGGTGCAATGATGAGTGGATTACGGGAGTCCGTTCGCATAATTGACATATTGAGCACTGGAAATGATTATATTGCTGAGGTTGAGGCATTGGAAGCTGCACGGGGACAGTTAGACACTGAAAGGGATGAAGTGAGGGATATAATAAAGAGACTTGATGCAGTAGAACTTTCTAATATAATGTACAAGAACTCTTTAGATGGTGCTCAAATTTTAACCCGGGAAGCTTTGTTAAGGGAAATGTTCTTTAATACGAAAACCACTGCTGGGCGCTTGCATGTGGCCAAACAATTGCTAACACTTCCTGTTGGAAACTTGAAGTCTTTTGCTGGAAGTAAAGAGGGGCTAGCCATTCTCAATTCATGGATACTGGTATTATTATATCACTTGATTCATTTTTTGCCACTGTTGTGTAATATGCTTTTGATAGACGTTTTATCCAACTTTTACTATTACAAAGTAAAACATGTTACTGTTGTGTTTGGTTCAGCTTGGTTTGAAGAAATAATAGCTTATTTATGGTCAGTTTTGTGAGAGTTTTTGAAAAACAAGTTGTTATTTCCCCAGTAATGAGCTAGACCTTGGATGCTATTGATCTTATGGTTATGGAATTTCTTAACTTATGGGTTTCTTGATTCATATCTCAATGCAGGACTCTATGGGAAAGGATGGTACCCAACTCTTGAGGCACTGTTTGCGACTTCTTGTTCGTGTTTCAACTGATCTTCTTGCTGTACGATTATCAGGTAGTTATTTATTTATTCATGAATTTACAATAGTCTTTGCATGTGGTTTATTTATTTATTTTCTTCAATGCTTTAACTTATCTATAATACTTTTGAGGGAGAAATAGTTGTTAACTGGTTGGAACTTGGTTCAGGTGAGATGAAAATAATTTTTATGTTACCATTTTATAAGATATATGTTTAGATTGATGTCAAACCTAGTTTGGGTCTTTTCTTACTATTATCAATTCCTATCATGTAATTAGCCTGATGAAGCTTTGAATTATAGTAGAAGATATATTTATGGTCCTGATGTCTTCTGTTTCCCTTGTATTAGTGTTTATCTTTATTTATTATTGGGTGTAGGAATGGGAAAAACAGTGAAGGAAAAAGTTTGTGTACATACTAGCCGTGATATTCGTGCTATAGCAAGCCAGTTAGTCAATGTATGGCTTGAAGTTTTCCGCAAAGAAAAAGCTTCTAATGGTGGATTAAAGTTACCAAGACAAACAACTGCTATAGATTTATCGAAGAGAAAATATGCAAAAGATTCAGCCTCGGGAAAACCACCTCTAAGCACATATCATAGTACCATTGAGAATAAAGGAGGCTTGCTGAATCCTACCTCTGCTGGAAGCAATTCACCTTCCAACGCTCATGTGAAGAAATTGCACAGCAAACAAGGAAGACAACCAGTGGCATATGACTCAAGGCATGAAGTCAGTTCTTCCAGGTCTAAAGGTTCAATAGATAGAGTAGTTACAGAGAAGGAGGATAACCACTGTGCTATATCAGAAGAAGAACAAGCTGCTATAGCTGCTGCAGAGGCTGCCCGTGCTAAAGCCCTTGCTGCTGCTGAGGTTTGTTTCCTTTGAAATTTTAATTGCCATGAGTATATTATTATATTGCTTCTGAAGATTGATTGATATTTACAAGATAAATTGGTTGATCACTATCCCTTATATAATTTTTGCTAGATTTCATAATGTGATGAGTTTTTAGTCACAGATCAGTGTCATTAATATCTGATAATGGAAATATAGGTAACCCAAACGTTCTTTAGAAAAATATATCTGAAGTTATAACGGGTTATGTTGGAAGCATCACGAACAGAAAGGATTGTGATTGTGTTGTAAACAGGTCTTTCTAGAATTCAAATTTGCTTGGTGGTGTGAATCTTTTATCTCAGATCTTTTGCTACTAGTTCCCCTTCCTTTTGCTACTAGTATTTGATATTAGGTTTTAAAGAATTGCATGTGAATTATGAGCCTTATGTTCAAATTTGCCTTAATAAATTAGTTTGGTCTGGTATTAATAAAGTTGTATGTTATGGTATTACATTTTTAATTCAATTCAGCTTCTTTAGTGAATAAATCAGATTGTTCAGCTCAATTTCAACTCATTTGATTCACAAACCGGGCTCATTGACACTTGAGCTTTGTGCACCTTCTGGTTTTATTGCCTGTCCTAATAGTGAAGACATACTTTGATAAAGTTTGACTTAGCTTTTTAGATCATAAAAGCTTCTTAAGTTGAATTTCAAAATAAAAGCAATAAAATTCTTGGGTATTTTGTTCTTGGTCTTGGAATTTGGAATAGAAAATAAGGGGAGGAGAATGAGAGACTCCTAAAAATCAACATATCTAAAAGCTCTTTTTCTTAATGTTTTCTTCATCAAGAATAAAACTTTTTTATTGCTTTTGTATAATTGTGTCTACCACAGCTGCTTTTAAGGAGGAAAGAAGTTCAATATAAGTTAGCCTTGGTGTAATGTTTTAAATTATGTTTGTTGGGTGTGTAGTTGGCAAATCAGCTTTAAATTTTCTATTGCTTATGATTGTACCCTGACAGATTCATAGAAAGTTCAGAAGTTGGTCCTCAAGAGTTGAATTACTCATTTTGCCACCTGAACTTGGCTTTGTTATATGCATTTTCGGTTCCTTGTGAAAATTTCAGATGAATGCTTCATTGTTTGTTGGTTGATTTTGTCGGCATTTTATTTGAAATTTCCTTCCTGTTCCTGGTTGCTAAATCCTTGATAAATTTTCTCCTTTGGTTTCAAACGACAAGATCCTTCCTGGTTTTTCTTCTTCCATTTGTTTTCACAATAGATTTGGCTCAATGAAGCACAAAACCTTGAAGAGAGGAGCCATGTCCATTTGTAACTTGTGTCTAACCGGGTTAGGAATTCATGTGAGACTTTAACATCCCTGTATAATGTATTCGAAATCTGCCGTAAATCTGGCAACCCATAGCCCACCTTAGTTGCAGTCTCTTTGGCAGTTGTCTTAATTGCAGCCTCATGGACAGTGGTTTAGTCCCACCTTGTCTAGAGATATGGCTACAGTAGAGCATATAAGTGAGGGCTACTATCTTATTAATTGGTTTTGTATGATTGAGTTAGACCTTAAAACAAATTTTAAGGTGATATTAGAGTGTATCCTAAATCCATTGTTGGGCCCATCTGCATATGCGATGCTCTAGGGTGAAAGTCTTGGACATGCGATGGAGTGTTGGAAGGCCACCTTAATTTTGGTCAACCCTAATCCTTTGTGGATTTCCTTATTAGCAACCTTAAGGGTGGTGGTTTAGTCCTACATCAACCATACTATGACTATATATATATAACCAAAGTACAGTTTATATGTGGGATTGAGTTAGTCCTAAAATAGATTTCTATCAAGATACTACTTCCTTAACTTGTGTTAAGCGTTAAGACACTAGGCAAAATTTAGTTTTATTTACTATGTTTATTGATGTTTTCACCTGTATGTGTATTGATACATGTATTTATATAATTTTAATCTTATGCCTGCTGTCAGAACATTTTCAGATGCGAGAACTTGTGCTTTGTCCTTGTGTTTAGACTTTTTCATGCCTCTAGGTTGTTGCATTGTTAGTGTGCATACTTATCAGATTTGGCAATGGACAATTGGCTTGGTTTTCTAAATATGGCTTTCACGGAACATTCTATTTGAGTCTACTTTTCTTTTGGAAGCTCATGCTTTTGCATGCTGTAATCAGTATTTTTTTTTTCAGTTAAATTTTATAATTTGCTGTAAGTCTGTGGCATAGTTGTTTTTATTTATCTGATTTTCCCTTATTTTTTAAGCAGATAGGATAATTGGGAAAATGTGGATTTTCCCCAGGTCGTTATATTTTTTATCTGAAATATTTGTTTTCCAGGAGATGCTACGGTGACACAAAATATCTAATGATTATTGTATTACCTCTTGATAGATCCTGTGCTTCCTTTCTCTATTTGGTTGTCATATTCATTAAAAGAATCTTTGGTCCTTCTTTGCAGGCATATGCCTCTGCTGAAGCCAGATGCAATTCACTCTTGCAGCTTCCGAAGATACCCTCATTCCACAAATTTGCTAGACGTGAGCAGTCCTCACAAAATGACGAGTGTGATAGTAGAAAGAGATGGTCAGGTGGTGTTTTTGGAAGGCAAGATTGTATTTCAGAGATTGATTCGAGGAATTGCAGAGTTAGGGACTGGTCTGTTGATTTCTCGGCTGCTTGTGTGAATCTAGATAATTCCCGAATGCCAGTTGATAACCTTTCACAGAGGAGTCATTCAAATGAGATTGCCAGCCATTTGAATTTCAGAGAGCACTCAGGAGAAAGTGTTGCTGGGGACAGCAGTATGTATACAAAAGCGTGGATTGACACAGCTGGTGGTGTTGCAATTAAAGACCATCATGCTATAGAGAGATGGCAATCCCAAGCGGCTGCTGCTGATTCTTTCTTTTCTAACCCAACTATTCATTTGAAGGATGAGGAGGACTCAAATGCCTGTTCAAAGCTACCCAGCTGGAAGCGTGATGGTGTTGCAAATGAGAGCTCTATTTCACAGGTTACTGTAAATAAGGATGCCCTAAAGAGTCATTCCCGAGCAGCAGATCATATTAAACAGGCTGTTGTGGACTATGTTGCATCACTACTTATGCCCCTTTACAAGGCAAGAAAACTAGACAAGGATGGATACAAGGCTATAATGAAGAAAAGTGCAACAAAGGTAACTTTTATCCTTCACTTTGCTTCTTTCTGTTAAAATTATGTTGTTTTAAGTATGGAGGGAACCATTGAGGCTAAAGAGAATGAAATGCTATTTGTTATTAAGTGAGATGTATTGCAATGTATTGATGTTTTTGATAATATTAATAATTAAGAAAACAGATCATGATAAGGTTAAGAAATATGGTAATTAATCCTAAGAGAACGTAACAGGGAAATACATTCTAGAGGATAAACTAAGGTTCGGTGAGATATGAAAAAGGTATTTTTGAATATTTCATATATTCTAACACTTTTTATTTGCTAAATTAAGCGAGTGTTACTGTGAATTGGGTAGGTAGGAGATTATAGGGATTAGCTGATCTAGAATATCTTCTTAATTGAAATATGCTCTTCATCTTTTTGTAACTTTGTGGGTACAAGTTTCAGGTCGTGGAGCAAGCCACAGATGCAGAGAAAGCCATGACTGTACGTGAGTTTCTAGATTTTAAACGAAAGAATAAGGTAAATTTCTGTTACATCTTGTCATCCTTCTGGAGAATACCTGCTTCTCTAGAAAATGTTATTCATGTTACTTATGTTGGCATGATTTACTGAGTGGAGTCCAGCTTCTTGAGGGGTGTGTAGGATTGAGTTACCTGCATTATGGGGTGCTTCATTGCGTTTTCTTTTTTGTTTTTTAGAAACTAGTTTATGAACCAATATTTTAAAACTATTGTTTAGAGTGTGGGAGTGGAGGAAGAAGATTGGACCGATGAAGGGAGAATGTGAGTAATAGAAAACTGAAAGTAGTAAACCTAAGCCAGATGTCTGATTTTTTTATTTTATTTTAATTTTTTTAAATCTGAGAAAAGGAAATATTTTTAGGATAATTTTTTAAAAGTTATTTTCTTTTTTAATTTATGCACTTCTGTCATTCCCCCTTTACTATTATTCTTTCTTTCTCATTGACCTTCATTTGATGCCTAACATGCAGATTCGCTCCTTTGTGGATATATTGATTGAGAGGCACATGACAATGAAATCAGATATGAAATCTTAATGTTGTTTGGATGGAATTGTTTGTACTTTGTTGTACGTCTTTGTAAAAATTGCAGAAGTCTGGTTCTTCTTCCTACTTCAGTTCTCACAGTTTTGGTGGCCATGGGCATGATCTCATTCGAGTACCTTAATCTGCCTATTGATCTAGAAAGTACAATTCTAAAGAGAAACAAAACTTGATTGATTCAAATCAAGCCGGTTCTATGGATATTCCTTGTTGGCTATTCCTAGCAACCTTGAACGGCATTCCAAATACGGATGGTAGATTGCCAGCAAACAGGCTTCACTACATGCATAGAGACTCATTGCAAGTATCAGTTGGATGTTCAGGGTGATGGGCATTGGCAGGTTTGAAGATGACGGCAGGTTGCATTCATCTGTCGATTAATATATCATCTTTCATCGAGGTTTATACCTTTGATGATTGAAAACCTAGACCCCATTTTTATTAAAGGGGTTTCTGAAGGGCAAGACATTAAATGACCTTATCATTTCTTCTATTTGTACAGTTTAGCATTGTTCTAGTGATGACAAGCATACATATCCATTTTCTATGTCCTACTAGAAACATTTTTCTTATTTAAGTTAACATCAATTGCTAACTTTTTTTCTTCATTCTCCAAAGTGGGGAAAGAATTATATGCCAGCTTTTGTAAGATACTTGATTACTCCAATTATTTTTCTTCTTCTGTCCCATTCTCTTGTATGTTTGTGTTACCCATGTGCGAGCACCCTGCTTACTTAAAATTTAGTCAGCCCGCACGTGTGCTTAAAATAATTAAATAGATACATTGCTTCCTTGGCAAACAAGCTCGTCAATCTAACTATAATTATGATATAAAGGACTGAACCATGGATGGTCAACAGCCCTAGTCTTCTTCGGCTGCTGTTCTATCATGATCGTTCTTCTGTACTAATTATGCTTACACCTCTTCCTATGTTTCTAGGCTGAGAGATAATTTCAATCACTAACGGGAGGAACTAGGTATTCCTCATTTTCCCTTTGTTTTTATGTTTTGGAACTTTTACCTCCTTCACAGCCAATTATCAGGTGTCTTTTTATTTCTTAATTGTATGTATCATTCTGAAGTGTTAAGGTGGACGGCCTTGTTATGATTCTATTACTTTTGTTTCTGATGCAGACTGTCTTCAAGCCATCATTATGTAATGTTGGATTAAAAAATGTCGCTGCTGGGGAAATTAAATTCCACTGGGTGTATTTGGGGGTGAGTACATTTTTTGTCTTTTGCATTGCAGCAGTATCCCCCCTCTCAATTGGTCAAGCCTATGAATTCCCCTCATATTTACTCCCATTGTAAATATTGGTTGCAAAGAATATGTATGATGTTTGCTAAGTTATATTTTTTAATTCACTAGGTGAATAATCCACTTGAGAAACTTATTTAGGGTTTCCAATTCAGTGTCAAAAGGCATTGTTACATTGTATTTATAGATAAAAGAGATACAATAAAGAGGATATGGACCTTAGCCCAAATCCTTAACCCTAGTCTAAAGAAAGATAGAAAAACATCATATCTCAACACTCCCCCTCAAGCTGGAGCATATAGATTGTATGCACCAAGCTTGGAACAAAAAAACTAAATCCTAGGACCTCTGAAAGATTTAGTTAAAATGTCTGTCATTTGCTCATTGGAGCTTACGAATTCAGTTACAAGTTCTTTAGATACTAACTTTTCTCTAACAAAGTGACAATAAATCTTAGATGTTTTGTTCTTTCATGAAAGATTGGGTTGGAGGCAATATGAAGAGCTGCCTAATTATCACAAAACAACTTCATCTGCCCATTATCAAAGGATTTTAATTCTTGAAGGAATTGTTTGATCCACACAAGTTCACACGTAGCAAGTGCCATAGATCTATACTCAGTTTCTGTACTAGATCGAGCAACAACACTTTGTTTTTTACTCTTATAAGAAATCAAATTCCCTCCAATAAAGATACAATACCCAGTAGTAGATTTTCTATCAATGGGACTACCAGTCCAATCTGCATCACAATAACCTAGAATTTAGTATTACCCTTATCTTCATATAACAATCCTTGTCCTGGGGCCTCTTTAATATATCTCAGAATGCGAATCAAGGCGTCCCAATGATTAGTACAAGGATTTTGCATAAATTGGCTAACTTCTCCAACTGCATAAGAGAGATCAGATTGGGTAATAGTAAAATAAATGAGTTTACCAACCAATCTCCTATATCTTTCTGGATTTGACAACTTTTCTCCTTTATCTCCCATCAATTTCTGATTAGGGTCCATTGGGGCATCAATTGGTTTACAATTTGTTAAACCTGTCTCCTTCATAATATTAAGGACATACTTCCTATGAGAAATGATCACATCTTCCTTTGATTGAACCACTTCAATACCAAGGAAATACTTCAATTGACCAAGGTCTTTGATTTGAAAGTGAGTATTGAAAGTCCCACATCACCTATCTTATGTCATTTGGTATGGTTTAAATACATGTTAGGCTACTCCACATATTGCTAATTGGTTTTATGTTGGAATCTTAACATGGTATCAGAGCCAAAGCCTAACATTTTTCCGGTTATTGTCATGGACCAAAAGTTGCCCTTTAGTTGGGTCAAAAGTACCCTTTGCCTGGTCCGACAGGTTTGGTTGGAGGGGGGTATATTGAAAGTCCCACATCACTTATCTCATGTCATTTGGTATGGTTTAAATACATGTTAGACTACTCCACATATTGCCAATTGGTTTTATGTTAGAACCTTAACAATGAGCAAATAGATGATTCTTCAATTGACTGATCTTTGTATAATCATTGCCTGTAATAACAATATCATCAACATAAACCATAAGGGACACATACTTGCCTGAAGAGGAATGACAATAAAACACTGAGTGATATGCTTCACTCTTTCAAGTCAAACAACTGTACAACATGACTGAATTTCCCAAACCAAGCTCGGGGTGACTGCTTCAAGCCATAAAGAGATCGGTGTAGCTTGCACACTAAACCAGACTCCCCCTGAGCAACAAAGCTAGGAGATTGCTCCATATAAATCTCTTCCTCAAGGTCACCATGAAGAAAGACATTTTTAATGTTCAGTTGGTGAAGGAACCAATGATGAATCGCAGCCATAACAAGGAAAAGATGAATAGTGAAAATCTTAGCTACTGAAGAGAATGTATCACAGTAGTCAAGACCATAATATTTAAGTGTGGCCTTTAGCTATTAAACGAGCTTTAAGATGATCCATTTTACCATTATTATTAATTTTAATTGCATAGATCCATCTACAACCTACAACCTTTTTGCGAGGAGGAAGAAAGACAAGTTCCCAAGTGCCATTGTGCTCAAGAGCCTGTATTTCATCAATCATGGCTTGTCACCATTCATGATGATCGAGAGCCTCATGGACAATATAGGAATAGTGGTGTCAGCTAAAGAGACAACAAAAGAGGAATAGGAAGGAGACAAATGATGGTAACTTAAAAAGTTATAAATAGGAAAGGGATTCCGAGAGGAACGAATACCTTTTCTGAGTGCAATAGGCCATCTAGAATCAGAAGTGGGAGAGGAGGTCAAAGGATCCATGGTATGAGAATCTGATGGAGAAGGTTCTGAATCACGATTTTTGTCGAATCTGGTAAAGGTGTAGGTGAATCACATGAGGGTATACTAAGATAAGGAGAATCATTGAGACCTGTAGGTTGAATTGGTGAAGGATCAAGTATTTTAAATGGATCACATGAGGGTAAAGGAAGAACATTTTGAATAGAGGAATCATCCTCCATGGAGGAGGAAAAGAAGGGTGTTTCCTCAAAGAAGGTGACATCAACAACCTTTTGGTGGATGGAGAATGACATTTGTATCCTTTTTGGAGGCGAGAGTATCCTAAAAAGACACATTTAATGGCTTTAGCACCTAATTTATCCAGACCTGGAGAGACATTAAGAAGAAGATGACATGCGATTGATCAAAAAACAAGCAATGAGAACTGTATCTCCCCAATGACGAACAGGAACATTGGCATTCAACATTAGAGAGCATGTAATCTCAATAAGATGTTTATTTTTTCTTTCTGTAATGCCATTTTGCTGTGGAGTGTGAGAGCAAGTTGACTGATATAAAATGCCTTGGGAAGATAAAAAAGAAGAGAAAGAGGCTAAAAAATATTCTTTAGCATTATCACTTCTAAAAACTTTAATTATCTTCTTAAAATGATTTTTAATTTCATTGAAGAAGGACACAAAAATGGACAAAATTTCAGATATGTCTTTTATTAAATAAACCCAATTACATCTGGAAAATTCATCAATAAAGATTACAAAATATCGAAAGCCAAATGAAGAGACATGACTCGGTCCCCAAATATCAAAATGAATATTTGAGAAAGGAAAATTACATGGAGTTTCAGAGTATTTATGAAAGGTAGACCTAATATGTCTTCCTAATTGACAAAATTCACATTCTAAACCATGAAGATGTTTGAGATTAGGAGCCATTACTTTAAACTTTGGTAAACTTGGGTGATCCAAACAATCATGCAAAAGTTTAGGAGAAGGAGAGGCAAGACATGACACCGAAGGACTTGGATTTAGATAATACAGACCATGTGATTCATGACCTTTTCCAATTAGACGACTCGTACCATGTTCTTGAATAACAAAAGAATTGAAATTAAAGGTTATAGAACAATTCAGAGAATGAGTCAATTGACTTAGAGAAATTAAGTTGTAAGGGCAATTAGGAATGAAAAGAACAAAATTCAAATTCAAAGAAGGGGTTAAAGGAACCTGACCAATTCCTTGTGATTTTACTTTAGATCCATTAGCCACATTAATCAGGTGAGGAATTTTAGGATAGGACATGGAGGAAAATGAGGAATTGTTTCTAGATATATGATCAGAGGCACCTGAATCAAGAATCCATAGGTTTTGACTTTTTACAGATTGAGAAATGCATGTTGAAACACTAGGCATGAAAGAAGATTGACTTTGACTGTTTAATTTTCCTCTCAAAAACTCTTGATACTCCTCGTAAGAGATTTTCAAATCCGATTTTTCAGATTTATAAACATAGGAAGGGGTATTCCTGGTAGGAAAATCGTGTAAGGAATACCAATTTTTTTGCGTGTGCCCCATCTTCTTGTGATAGAAACATTGAGGACGACCTTTTATAGTATCAGAACAAGAAAAAGCACTAGATGAAACCATTTATCTGAAATAGAGATGAAAGATAAACCTAACCAATAGGGTACTCACGTGACCTAGCTTCCAAAGTCTTCAGAACAGAAAAATAAGGGCACCATAGGACTCGGAGGGTGCTGGCTAGTCGAACGAAGGTAATCGGCCTTGATTCTGGCCACTAGAAGGCGGCGCGTGGGACACACGCGCCTGAGACGATCCTCTGGAGCAACCGCGTGTAACGGTGCATGGGACAGCTGATGGAGGAGCAACTTGCAAGGGTGAGTTGCACTCTTCGAGGCGCACCAAACCCTACCTTAACCGGACCAAACTGACACGGTGGCCGCCGACGGACGGCGGTTGGAGATTACAGGAAATCACTGCAGGATTGTACTCGTTCTGATATCAACTTGAGAAACTTATTTAGGATTTCCAATACAGTATCAAAAGACACTGTTACATTGTATTTATAGATAAAAGAGATACAAAGGATGGACCTCAGCCCAATCCCTTAATCCTAGTCTAAGGAAAGATAGAAAAACACCATATCTCAATATATCCTATTTTTAGTGATGCTATTTCAATTTGCCTGCATATGCCGAAATGGAAAATTTATCCTCGGACTTTTAGTTGGGATGCATTTCTGGTTTGAATCAGTATCGATTGAAACTCTCCATTTGATGGGTACAATATTGTGTCATATACATTTTTGTTGTAACGATTTTGGCTTTATGTTTCTGAATTTGATGTGGATTTTGTATTCTCATTCGACAGAGATTACAAGAATATTGACAAAAAGACAGAGACGCATATACAGTATAATGCATAAATGGCAGCATACTAATAACTTCGCCGAAATATTTCGTTCTCTCAGTATTGATCTCTGTGCTTCACTGCTTCTAATACTTAGTCTTCACTGTCCCGTGTGTCTCCAATTACCTTTTATAGATGAATCACAAGTATGTTGCAATTTATTTGTTTTCATATTTAGTTGGATTGCCAACTATTACTTGCATGTTGAGATCATACTGTAGAAAATAGTTTTGCATCAGCCAATGGGATACAAGTGCAGGTTGTGGTGCCTGGAAATCTATAGGATGATGATGTTATGGTAGTCTTTTGCCTTCGTGCATTGAGTTATCATGTATTACTTCTACTGAAGAAACGTCTTATTTTCTTATACTTTCCATTAAAACACTCAGATTTTTTATAATTAAACTAGTCACGCTTCTGTTGTTGGCTTTGACCTGAGGTTTCATCTGCTTTGAAAATCAGATGTTAGATGCTGAATGACGTAATTACCAGTTCTCTGAGCTAACAATCGTTAACTTTAAAGGTTTGGATAAAAATTCGTTGTAATGTACATATATTGTGCTTAGGTGTTCTTTTCTATACATATAGTGTTACATATGTTAACCACCGGGGACTACTACAAAGCTAAATTTTGGCTAAATCAGTTGTTTAAATAGTTTTTAATCTTGATGATTTTTATAAGCTTAAATAACTTTTAATCTTGATTATTCATATATGCTTGGATGACTTGTATAAAGTTTTTATTTTCTTAACAACTAGCTTTATCAAGCACTTTTAATTAAATAATTTAGCTTAAGGTTTTCAGTTGCCACATAAACTTTTAGCAACAAATTTGAGTACAAGTAATTAATATTATTTGAGAACAGACTTATATAAAAGCTTCCGTGACAGTTTTCGGAATGATTTGAAGAAAGTAATAAAATTTTAAAGTGATTAATGGTCTAGTTTATTAAGTGTTATAAAGTGAAAAAAACTTAACGTCACAAGGTGAAAAAAGAGTAAGTTATATTCTCAACTAGGAATTTGAATTTCCAACACAAGCGTGTAACAATAAAAAATAGCTCTTTACGAATGTTAGATTTCATAGATGTGGGATGAGCATATATATATATATATATATAATAATAATAATAATAATAATAATAATAATAATAATAATAATAATAAAATTAATATTAAACTATTTACTTAGTATTGTTAAGTTATATTTGAAAATATTAAATATATTTTGTCAAACTTGATTTTGGTTGTTATACATACAATTTGAGTGATTAGTCTCTTCGTTTATGAAAATATGTGATTTTTGATCTTTTTGATTTTATATTTATATTTAATATGTTGTGATTTTTTAGTTTGATAAATCGACAAAAGGATTAAATATAAATTGATTTATTTTATATTTATCATAAAATTAATAAAATAATTAAATTTATATTTTTTAAGGTTTGAATATTAATTAATTAATTTTTAAGTTTAAGAAGTGAACTTAAATTTGACAAAAAATTAGGATTAAAAAATATATTTGATCCTTAAAAAAGTTATGACGTCGAATGAATTCCTAAAACATTATTAAAATGGTCAGTAAAACATTTTATGCTTTTTAATGTTTTAAAGCCTTAATCTCAATAAATCATAAATATTTAATAGACAATTATAAATGTTTCAATAAAACTATTTGTTTAAATAATGCACCCCCTTTTTAAAAAAATCAATTAAAAATCGTATTATATTAAATAAGAGATCTCTATTTAATATATATCGTGATTAGTATGAATAAAGTTTAAATGTATTACTATTATTTCTTATAAAAAATAAATTAAATTGGTATTCAAATATTTTCCAGTTATAACTTGCTAATCAACTTATGTTAAAATGTACCGAAAAGTCAAATTAATGAACAATTCAATGACTCACTTGTAGCTTTGTGTGCGGAGCAAGTCTCCCTGGGTTGAGAAGTTGATACCCATCAATTTTCTTAAAAGGAAATTCTACGTATGAATTTAAAACAAAGTAAAATTTAATATTAAATATACATCATTATGGTTAACTATATTTTTTCTAACTAATATATGTATATTGAATAACATGTATTTTTTATTCAGAGCAAATTATTATGTTTCTTATTGCTATTTGATTAAGAATTATACAAATTTATAAATACAAAAAATAGTTTTAAAAAAATTAAATATATAATTAAAATTAATAGTGTGACGACACAATTAGTATGGTTATGATTCTTTTTATATGCATATTTTATTTTTGTTAGATAAATATGCTAAATATTAGAGTCTAATTTGGATTTATTTATTTTTTTATTTTATTTCTCGTATAACAAAAGAAAATTCCTATAAAATTTTAGTGAAAAGGCAGTTGCTTTAGCGTGTAAATTTTTTATAATTAATTTTTAAAAAAATATTATTTTATTTTTTTACTTTTTAAATATATTTATGTATTTTTCTCTTTCTCATATTTGTATCATTTTAAAATACATAAATTAGTATAATAATTATTTTTTAAAATATAACACTTTTATTTTTCACTATATATATATATATATATATATATATATATATATATATATATATATATATATATATATATATCAAAAGAACGGTTAAGAAAAACTCTCTTTTATATATAGTTATAAATATTAAATATATAAATTTAATTAAAAAGTAAAAGGAAATTGAAAGATAGTTTATATTTAAAATAATTTCATATTTTATATACAAGTAAAAAATTTTAATAGATTTTTTTATAAAATATATAAATACAAATATTTTATTATCATATTAATATTTTTAGTAAATAAAAATTAAATATAATTATATTGTATTGATTAAATAAAAATCATACTTTATTTTAAATTATTAATAACATAATAATTTACAAACGTTACCTTTTAATTTAATTTTATCATTTATAATAAATTATTATTATTATTTGTTTGCTCTTATGTAGTATAATTATTTAATTTTTTAAAATTAAAAAAATTATTAAATAGTTATATGTGTTTTTGTAATTTTTAAAAATCATAAAATTTAATAAAAAAATAGTTTTATTTTTACTAATGATATTTATGTTTATATCATTTATACTACACTAAAATTATCAAAATTATTTTTTAGTTTCTGTTGTGACATTTCATGAATATCAATTTTATTTTATTTTATTTAAGATAAATTTTAAATTAAATATATGAAATATTTATTTTTAAATTCATCTGTAAAACTAGTTTTAAAATTAAAATTCAAAATGTTTCTTCTTGTATAACAAAAATAAATTATTGCAGATATAAAAAATTTACCCACTTGTAATGAGGTCCATATGCGTCACTGCGCGCGTAAGCGTTTTCCCGCAGCTTCCCGTTTTCTTCTATCTACTCCTTATGGTCTTTTGCAGTATCAATAATTTCACAGATTTTCTGTTGTTTTGTGGTCAAAACCTATTCCTCTCTTCTTCTTCTACTTTTTTTTCTTCAAATCATTCTCAATTTATTCACAATCATATCTAATTTATCAACCACTCTGATACGAAACAGAGTCACAGTTAGTTTAGTTAGTTAGATTGTTAATTGATGAACGCAATTCGTTCTCGTGGGTTCATGAGAATGGCGGAAGACATAGGAAAGAGCACCCTCGAATCCTCTGCTGCTGCTTCGACAACAACCTCGCGAGGCTTTTGGCCTTCCGTCTTACGTTGGATACCCTCCTCCACCGACCACATCATCAATGCCGAGAAGCGCCTTCTCTCTCTTGTCAAGTACGCTTTTCATTTACCCTAAATTTCCTCTTTTTTTTTTCTGCAATTGTTACCTGTTTTACGCACTAAACACGACTTGTTGACCATTTTTTTTATGAACTGATTGGTTCACTTGATCCTATGGTTTTAAACCTCTGAATAGTTATTTGACGATACAGTTGTAGATATCATGATGCTTGTTATTGGACGAATAGAGAAGAAATACCAACAACGTATTCTTTAATACTCTTTTTTGAGACACACCCTGGTCAAAACTTATTGAAAATCATAATTTTATGGGCCTTACTTACTCATGATTTTGTAACTTTCAATAAATGTTAATTAATTAGAAAGAATATGTTAGAAGAAATGTTTTGTTAACACTCTTCGACTGAAGTTATCCTAAGAAGAAGAGTGTATGTTTTATGTGTTAGGTGGGTAGTTCTGACCAATCTCCACGCGGTATGTAGCAGAGTTTTTATTAATTCTTTGCTGTAAATTGAGATTTTGCTTGTAGATTGGAGATAGGTAGGGATATATATATCATACAACAATTTCTTATACATGAGATAATTTGCTCTAAGTTTAACTAACTAACTATAACAACTTCATCTTAACTGCTGGGGCATCAGCAGGATGAGCTGGATTCTTTTACTTCTCGTGTAACAGTTACAACAAGGGGTGTTTAATCTGAAATTGCGAATTTAAGTTGTATATATCTAGGATTCTGATGTTTTTTTTTTCTTTCTTGGCAGGACTCCATATGTTCAAGAGCAGGTTAATATAGGTTCTGGTCCACCTGATTCCAGAGTTAGATGGTTCCGTTCATCGAGCAATGAACCACGGTTTATTAACACTGTCACATTTGACAGTAAGGATGATTCTCCTACGTTGGTAATGGTTCATGGATATGCGGCATCACAGGGTTTCTTTTTTCGCAATTTTGATGCACTTGCTACTCGTTTCAGAGTTATTGCTATTGATCAACTTGGGTAAGCTTTATTAGAGAATAACTTTCTGTTTTGATTTTATTAGAGAATATCTTTTTGTTTTGATTTTATTAGAATCTGTTTGTATAGTGTTATGTTTTCTGCCATTCTATCTGTGTATTTTGTTACAAAAGGAGTGACTCATTCTTTATCAGGACAGCTGTATTCTATCCCTGATAAATTCCATTACAGTTTTTCTTTCCTTTACATTTTGAAACAAGGTTTTACTTCACTTCATCCATGATTCCAAATTAGTGTTTTTTGCAAATTGATTATTCAGTTAGTTATATTTTTTTTGCAGTTGGGGTGGATCTAGCAGGCCTGACTTTTCATGCAGAAGCACTGAAGGTCAGTGCCAGAGTTGATTTGGAGTTGGGAATGTTTGACGTTATTGTTTAAGTTGAAAGTTAGTACAACAAATATGCTAAACTTCTTCTTGATACAACAGAAACGGAGGCATGGTTCATTGATTCCTTTGAGGAATGGAGAAAGGCCAAAAACCTGAGCAATTTTATACTACTTGGGCATTCTTTTGGCGGTTATGTTGCATCCAAATACGCACTTAAGGTGAAATTCTTTCGACATTGTGTTTAGAGTAGTTGTTGGTTTTCTTCATTTTTAGATTGTTCTTATATATATCTTATAACTTATTTATAGCACCCGGAACACGTAAAACACTTGATTCTGGTGGGACCTGCTGGAGTTTCGGCGGAATCAGAGAGAATTACGAAGTTCTTATCAACGTGGAAAGGATCAATCCTGAATCAAATATGGGAATCTAATTTTACGCCTCAAAAAATCATCAGGTAGAATTACCAGGTCCCTATTTTTTTCATCCTATTCTATGTATGCTTTATCATTTTTAGTAATCTACAGCTATGAAGGAAATGCAGAGATAAGTTCATATTGTCTCTTATTTATACTTTATCATTTTCATCTCAGTACTTCTGATTATTTGTTATCTTTTCTAATGGCATTGTTATTGAAGTAGAAAAATACAGAAATAATTTCATCTTGCTTGCTCTAGTCTGTCATATGGAACCTAATTTCTAGTGCAGCATAATATTCCTATCAAATATATTGGGTGGTTGGTTGTAGTGGAAAGGGGTTGATTAAAGAAAAAGTTGTGTATTGATCCTAAACATATAGAAAAACATTTGTGTTCCTTTTCATGAGTTTTTTAAAGAAGAACATGATAACATTCTTTTTTATTTGTTTTCTATTAATGTGTTAAACATATGTTTCTATAGTGTTATTCTTTGTTTAATATTTTTTTTCTCATATTTTATGGTAGGGGTTTAGGTCCTTGGGGTCCTGATATGGTCCGCAAGTATACCAGTGCCAGGTTTATTACACGAACAATCGGGGAAATGCTGACAGAAACTGAATCAAGATTACTGACAGGTATGCTGAGATAGATAACCACAATACATGGTTTACTTGTAAGAGTGTATTTCTTTCTTTTCCCTTCTTTTTTGGAGTACTCATTCTCATAAGAGTATATTTCCATGTGGTGTTATTTTGCTATTGCAGATTATGTTTACCATACTTTAGCAGCCAAAGCTAGTGGCGAGCTGTGCTTAAAATATATATTTTCATTTGGGGCACTCGCGAGGTCACCACTTCTTCACAGGTTTGGTGATCATCCTCCTGCTATATTGATTATTGAATTAACATTTTCATTTCCGCCTTTCTTAATCAAATACCAAAATGTCGATAATTGGATGGTTGTCATTAGTAAAACAATGTTATGCAGTTTTCAGAATGATAATTACTTCTAGCGTACGATGATGTTTTGTCATAATATTTTTCCTTTAATATTCTATTTGTGATACAAAGTCAGTAAACTTTGCTTGTTCGGACATGCTGGGTATGGTTAAGAAGTATTTGTATGGTATAATGGTATACAATCCGGAGCCAGAGCTTGTTCGCGAATGGCTAAACCACTGCTGGAAAAAAATTTCTATTGACCTTTCTAATACTTTTTGTGTACTCAATTGGTGGTCTCTTGTGCTAACTCGATATGAAACTAATAAAGAAATTAAAATAAAGACAATATGTGCATGGTCCTGTTTGATAGGAGGGTAAAAGAAGAAAGGGAAGAGACAATGAGAAAAAGCAATGAAGATTGTAAATTTGTAAAATAAATGCCTTGGACTTATTGTACCTTGCGGCTAAATGTTGGCTGCAATGCAAATTGAGGCTTGTGCAGCACCCTGCATCAATGTTTTTATCTTGGAAGTTATAGCATTTTTGGGTTGATTCAATGGAAACTCCTAAAAAAGATTGGAAACGAGATTGAGACAAATTGAAGCTTTCTATGTTTTGAAAATCCTATGTAAATATCCAAAATTCTGAACGTGTAAAGGTTTGAGCACGTCGTTTCTACTGCGGTGCCAATGCGCCATATATGATTATGGGTTTTAGCCGAGGTCGTGTCAAAACTTTATTACTCTATTGCTTCAATTAGCCACTCCACTTATACTTGATGCACTCCATGTACTTGCGCCAAGTGTGATGTTTTTAACCTCCATTCTCTCTTGTTTCACAGGGCATCAGAATGGAAAGTGCCTACCACTTTCATATATGGTTTTCAGGACTGGATGAATTATGAAGGCGCCCAAGAAGCTCGCAAACATATGAAGGTTCCATGTGAAATCCTAAGGGTTCCTCAGGTATCTCACTTTCTCCATTTTCCCAGACAGTGAGTGAAGTTTCTTCAATCCTTTTTGGATTAACAAACTTCATTCAATTGTAACAGGCCGGCCACTTTGTGTTCATTGACAACCCAAGTGGCTTTCATTCAGCTGTGTTTCACGCTTGTCGAAGGTTTCTAAGTCCAGATCCAGACAATGAATCCCTTCCTGAATGGCTAACCGCAGCATAGATTATAATCTTGTTCTTGTGCAATGCTGTCTATCATTATTGACTATTTTACAAATTAATTCGTTAATTTAAGCCATATTCTATTCATGCTTCAATGGAATTTTCATTTCTAAGGGCATTTAAAAAAATAATGACCTGTAATATAAATCTCATTACTAAAATGTGTTCATTATAACTTATTAGGTTGTTTGTTTTGTTTTGTGTAATGAATGAAAATTTAGAATCCGCTACAATTATGTTGTAAGTACTATCTCTGTGTACATGTATACAGTGATTTTCTGATAATGTCAATTGTTTGGTTGTAGAATAAGAAAAAGGAGGACACTTAAATCTTGATAATGTTATATTTTTGAGTGAAGAGTATATTTGTTATTTCATCTCTTTTCACAATTTTCTTGGCTGTTACGAAGAGGTTTCGCATTTCCCGTTTTCTGCGCTTTGAAGTGTTCCAAATATGAAAAAAAAAACATTTTGAGAAATCTTGTAGCTTATTTGATTTAAATTATATTGAATATAATTACTTATTTTAATTTCTTATTTAAAAATAAATAATTATTTTTAATTCAATTAAAATAATTATAAATGTATTATGAAATATGATTCCAATAGATTTTTTGTATATTTTTTAAATTATAAATTATGATATAAACTACTAAATACTACTAAAATTAATAAAGTTAATGATAATTAATAATAATTGATAATACTCAATCTTTAATGTTTAATGATGGAAGAATATGTTTCCTTGAAATCTTAATGAAAAAAAAATAGGATAAATTCTAGAAAAGAAAAACTAGTGCATCATCCTTCTATTCAAAATTAATTCATTTCCCTTCTTTATGTAAATTATGAAATGAGGAAGTCTAATATAATGAATTAATTGTTCAAATATTTTTTTGACAAAAAATTTCTAAATAAATATCAAATTTTCATGTGAACAAACTTCTTAAATTTCATATCACTATTCTTTCACAATGTCATGACTAAAAACTGAATTTAAAATAATATTCTTTATTATATTGAAATGGAGTTCTTCATTTAAAACTAAACTAATGAAATATTTACAAGTATTTACATCAATTACTCGTAAATATATTTGTTCAAAATAAATATTGAATATGATTGAAATTCTTAAATGATAAATCGTATTTTATATCTTACCACTTTACAACTCACAATAATTCAAGTGTATCCAATTTGTTTAACATTTATTTATTTATCAACCATATTTGATAGACTTTAATTATTGATCTTTAACATCATTAATAATATTTAACTATATGAAAAAAATTGTCGTTATCAAATTTACCATATTATTTCATTAATAAGATAATTATTTGAAATATTTTATTTTTTTTATAATTTTACATGTATGAGTTTCTTTTGGAACTGAAACATTATATCTTAAAAATGATGAGATACTTAATTTAACTTTACAAAATCGGTTCGTAGAAGAATTGTACTCGTCTACATACTATAATATTATCGTATTTCTAGCAGTGGTGGATTTTAACCATTGATCTTGGGGAGCAAATAATATATTATTAATAAATAAATAAATATAAAAGGAAGAAAGAAGATGAAAGTGTGAAAAGATAAAATTGTAGATATATACTTAAATATATTAAATTATCATTAAGTTTGAGGGGAACAAAATCATAAATTATATGAAAGTTATAAAACCGAGGAGAGACTAAGAGGATAAAATTGTAAATCTACAAGTAAATATATTAAATGTTCATTAAGTTTAGGGGGTCAAAATCATAAATTACATGTGAGTTACAAAACTTTGGGGGGCCACGGCCCCCCTCAGCTCCCAATAAGATTCGCCACTTCTAATTAATGTGAGATTTTATCACACTCTTATGGAGAATTTTTCATGTTTCAATATTGCTAGAATAGAATTTGATACAATCTTAAAAATGATGAGATATCTCATTCAACCCTACAAAATCGGTTCAGTATAGTAAGGATTGTACTCACCTACATACTATATGTTATTGTATCTTTAGTCGATATGTGATTTCATCACAATCTCTTGTTTCGAGGCAGATTTTTCATCATACCCTCTCACCTTGAAGGAGTTTTTTTCATCATATTCCCTCACCTCGACGAAGATTTTTTATCACTACAAAACCGACTTAGTATAGTGAGAATTGTATTCATCTATATATTATAATGTTATCTTATCTCTAATCGATATGAGATTTCATCACCCTCTCATCTCGACACGGATTTTTCATCACATCTCTTACCTTACCTCGAAGAAGATTTTTTCATCGTATCTCCTCACCTCAAGGAGGATTTTTCATCACCTCATATGGCTAATCTTACAATTAGCATTTTATTTTATTTGAGGTTTCATACTTTTTGGAACTTATTACACATGTGCTTAAAACTTGTTTGCATCATTAGTTAATTAGAACATCAATTCTCATTAAAACATTAATAATTGATACATATTAGTGATTCATTGTTTGAGTTAATAACTATATTTGATCACCAATTGATTAAGCAATATAATTGAATTTTTAGTCCAAATTTTGTACAAGGAATAAGATGAGATAATGATAATCAATTTCAACTAATATCCTTTTCTAATTATTTATTCTCTCTTTAATATTGAAAAAATTTATTCATCAAATCAACAATGGATAAATTAAGTTGTAAATGAATATTTGGTTAATGATTCAAGATATTTTATTATTAAAAGAATTTAAACCTAACTAATAGAAACTTTTAGGATTGTAATATATATATAAAAAAAGCTTGAAAGGAAAAAGTTATTGACCCAATGGTAATTATAAAAAGGGAGTATATAAGAAAACATGTTGGTTGATATAAATTTGTCCTGTAACATATAGAATAGAATTGCATAACCCCAAACCATGATTGATAGTTTCAGTCCAATTAGTAACAATCTTGCAATAAGTTTTAGACGTTTTAAAGTTTATTTTGTGTTAAACATAAATTATAAATTGTTTAATCTCAATTTCAATGTACTCGTTAAATACACGAGATAACTTCAATGTAATTTATTAAATACATAACTATGCAAATTCGTTATCATTAATAAATATTTTTTTCTTAATACGAAATTGATTTATTATTAAATTAATTGGGTTAACCACAAATTAATATCAAACAAACATGTTACCATCTATTTTATGTATCAATTAAAATCATAAAATATATTAATGGTCCACCAAATATCACCATAGGTGAATTTCAAAATTATAATAGGTTTATTCCTTATTTCTTCTGGTGATGATTTTATTATTAACTTCCTTTAATGTGAAAAATCTTGGAATATTAACGCTAACTTTTCATATTATTATTAAGGAATATATATATATATATATATATATATATATATATATATATATATATATAACTTTTGAGAATATTGTATGAGTTGTTGTATTATCAGTTAAAGACATTTTTATTTATTTTTATAATTGTTGTTAGTGTTAATATTCATTAAAAAAAATAACATTAGAAATATTGTGAAGCAAAATTATATTTAAAATATAATTATCTTTTTATAATATTTTTTTATTCTAATAAAATATTTTAAAATAATAAGTAATAAATCTTAATATACATACGATTCTTGGATATAGACTGGTATGAGGACTAATTTGTTTATAATAAAACAATTTAAAAATAAAAATATATTTCAATAATAAATAATAAGTTATAAGAAAATACAAAATTGTCATCACACAATGGAATTACAGGAAAACATTATAAAAAAGGGAACAACACAAAATTTCCAATGGATTAAAAACACACAATAAACACTAAATATAAATACTAAAAAATTTGAGAAAAAAATAAAATCATAAATTATACAAATTATTTTATTAAAAAAACTTATATGAAAGACAACCAAATAAATATAATTTAAATGTATTAATCATATGTAATTAAAATAAAATAAATAAAATATAAAATCAATTTTAAAAAATTAATATATTTTAATATATTTGATTACCACATTTTTAATTTGACCAGGAATTCATAATATAGACTTATTATTCATCTTCATATTATTTTTTTAATCTAATGGTCTAAAGCAGTAATTGATCATAATAATTAAATTATAATAAAATGAATGATAATGATGTAAAATAAATTATTAACTTTTATTTAGTGAATCCATTTTTTTTAATTTAAAAGAGATTTAAAATATTTCAAGTTTAAACAATTTCAAATAAATAAATTAGTAATATTAAGACATAGAGAATAGTTTAACTTTTACTTGAGAATATAGTAAAAAAATATTTCTTAATACTCTTTGTTACCATCATTCAACAAAGAAATAAAAAAAATATATCAATATCAATAACATCCATATATAACCATAATCTTAATCATCATTTTGAATAGCGAATCGTGCTTTTATATTTTTCTCTTTATTTTTAAGTGATTCTATTAGATGTTTTTTTGTATGACACAATATCAATGATATTTACCAACACAATAACATACATTTTTAACTCTTTTGCTACCTTTTTTTATCCTTTTCTTTTCCTTTTTTTTTTGTTACATTATCTTCTCACTTATGTTATAAAGAGGTATTTTTGAAAAATTATCTGTGATCGACCTCAAAAATATGGATTACTTTTGGGAATGAACCAGAAGCATTTTGTTGGTCACATGATTTTTTATCAAAAGTTCATTATCTTGTTTATTCATAAGAAGACATGGAATTAATTCAAAATATTTTTTACAACTCTCTTCACTAATTATTTCTCTACACAGTGTTAACTGAGAAGTAACTTTAATCATTATGGAATTATATTCGCTTATAGTTTCAAAATCCTATAACAATCATAATAAGTTTTTTGAAATAATTATAATTTTCTTGTAATAATATATTTTATTTTTATTATTCCGTAAGACAAGAGGATATTTTATAATAAAATATTCAACGTTTATGCTTTTATGAGGTGGTAATGAATGAAAGTCATGACTTTATTATTGTTTTTATCAAATGCCTTATTTGTTTTATTAATGACATCACCAAGATTAATTAAAACTAAATATATTTCAGTATTTAATATTAAAGATAAATAATTTTTTTCTCATATTAAATGTCACATATTCAAGTTTTGCAATTAATTACATTGTATTTAAAATAATTTAAAATGAAATTATTGAAAAGATGCAATAAATAATATAGAAAAATAAAGGTATAATTATTTTGCTTCAATAGCTAGATTTCTTGTATTTCATCCTCTGATATCCTTTATGTATAAGTAAAAAAAAAATGCAATTTAAAAGATTCAACTTAATGATTATAAATATTTAAATCATATAATAATAAGTAATAATAAAGATTACTAAAAATTAATAAAGTTAATGAAAGATTAATAAGGAATGGATCTTATGAATAATATATTTTAAAAGAAAAATGACTAATAGAATCTTTATCAATAATTTACTCAAATAAACATGTTTATTTTTTATATTTTCTCTTCTCTTTTCTCTTTCACTTATTATTCTAATTAAATTATTATATTAAAATTTAATAAAAATATGTTAAAATAAATATTTTAAAATCAACAATGAAACTAAAAAAAATATTAACTAATCATTTAAAATAATGATGATAATAAATAATTTTATTTATTTTGACAATAAATAATTAATTTAAAAATATTTTATTATAATAAATAATTATTCATCTAATTAAAAAATATCAAATATTTATAAGTTAAATGTTTTTTATTTAATAATTTAATCTAATTATAATTAGATTTAGTTATAATAATTAGTTAGATTAGGTAATTAAAAAAATACTTATTGAAAAAATAATTTAAAATAAATATTTAATTTTTTATTAATAATTATAATATAACAATAATACTTGTAACATTTCAAATTTATCATATAATATTTTTTATATTAAATTATAGTATTTCAGGATTATTTTAATATTTTTATTTATTAGTAATCATAAAAGACTCAGCTCATCAAATTTTAATATACTATTTTTAGTTGAAGAATAAGATGGAGTGAGAGAAGAATCAAATATGAGAAATGAGAAAAGAGAAAAGAGGAAACAAAGGAAAATAAACACTAAACAAACATAGAAAAAAGAATAATAAAAAATAAATGAAAAGAGGGAAAAATAAAAAAATAAGTGAGGAAAGAGAGGAAAATAACTATCTTATGTTAGATAAATTTATTTTCTCTTTATTGAATTTTGTGTATGAACCATAATCATGCCTAATTGGATAAATAAATTTAGAGAGATTCTATTTAAGTGATTTTTTTAAATATATTATTTATGGGATTGATTTACTCATAAGACATAACATTACTACAATTTTTTATTTTATTTTATATAAGATGTTGAAATATAATAAGATGAAACAAGTTTTGGTGATGTCATTTAAGAAAGACATAAAACATACTATTAAGATAAAGTCAAAATTATTATTTACTTTTGTTGCCATCTCCATTAAGGGTTAAAAGTTTAATATGAAATAATTTAAAGGAAAGATATGAACTCTATAAAATTATAATTCTTCCAAAAACTCATGATTATATAATGTAATATTTTAAAGTTGCAAGTGAATATAATTTTTCATTGTTTAGAATTACTTCTCAATTAAAACTATTGAAGAAAGAATTATATTGGTGATATGTTTTAGAAAATATTCTCCACTTTTTTTTATGCAATTAATTTGCTCCTTCCTACTCTAACAATATCATAGAAAGCGTTTTAAAAAATATTTTGAGTTAATTTCTTCTTCTGATTGAACAAAATGATGAACTTTTGATGAAAAATCATGAAGCTCAAAGAACTTATTTTTCTCCATTCCTAAAAGTGAAGGTAACAATGTCTAATTCATATTTTTGTGGTTGATTGTGAATATGATCATAACTGTTTTAGTTATTTTGGTTGTGAACATAATTAGAAAAGATTTTTCAAGAATAATTAAAACAATAATGTGAAAAATGAAAAAGAAATAGGTGAAAAAAATAATAAACAATATAAAAATATATGTTATTATTAGGTTGATAAAGACTATTCATCCATATTTCTAATACAGCAAAACATCTTAATGATCTTTATTTAGAGTCGATTAAAAGTAAGAATAAAAATATAGAAAAATCATTGCTTACGAAGACAGTGATTTTGATAATCATCATAAGCATGCTACTAATCGTAATATAGATAATTTATTTATTGAACCAGATAAAAAAAATAATCCTCATTAACTATGAAAGTATTAACAAATATTTTTTAATTATTATTAATATTATTAAGTTTTTAAATATAAAATAATGAAATATGACTTTCATGTTTTAATAATATTGAATTGTTTACTTTAAATGATTTGAATTTAAAATATTTTAAATTTTTACATCATATGATATATTAACTAATTAAATTTAAATATAAAAATCAAATATATTAATATGCATTAATCATTTTTAAAAATAGTTTTTATTTTATTTTTATTACATGTGATTAATATATTTAAACTGAATTTATTTAGTTGCCTTCTAATAATTTTGATATTTACCAATTATGATCTTTCTGATAAAATTATTTATACAATTTAAGATCTCTTTCACAATATTTATGGTTATGAAATTAGATAATTATAATTATTTACTTCTTTAGAACTATATTATTATTATTATATTTTATTTTATTTTTATTACATGTGATTAATATATTTAAATTGAATTTATTTAGTTGCCTTTCAATAATTTTGATATTTATCAATTACGATCTTTTTAATAAAATTAATTGTACAATTTAAGATCTCTTTCACAATATTTATTGTTATGAAATTATATAATTATAATTATGTACTTCCTATGTTATTCTTTAAATAAATATTATATATATATATATATATATAATATAATATAATATAATATGTACAATGCAACAACTCTTATAATTTTAAAAAGTAATAATTTTATCTCTTCTAGTTTGTATTTTTTTTCATACTATAAATATAATTAAAATCTTTAAAAGAGTTATTATATTATTATCAATAGAGATAAATTTGAACATTAAAAATTCAATTTATTCCCGCGAATCTAATATAAATTTATTAAGTTTTAAAAATATTCATTTAAATGGATATTATTATTATAGATATGACAGGGGTTAGGTATCAAACATCATTCATTCGCAGATATTTATCTGCAGAGCATGATCGCTAACCCAATAATATCGATACCTACTTATAATAGACCAAACGATTAGGTCGGCTTTAACCTAAAGTATGATGGGGTAGTAAGAGCCATCTATTTTGTCAACGGGGTACTCCAGGGAGCAGAAAGTCGATACCAAAAGGTAAAACGGGCAGCTCTAGCTGTCGTTGTTACAACACATTGGCTAAGGCATTACTTTTAGAGCTTCCCCGTGGTAGTCAAGATTGACTCACCAATAAAGCATGTGTTACAAAAGCTCGACCTCGCAGGAAGAATGGTAAAATGAGCTATCGAGTTATCTGAATACGACATAAGTTACGAGCCTCATGGCTCGATAAAAGTTCAGATTCTAGCCAACTTAGTGGCGGAATTAACACTGCCGTTGGATTGCCTAGTCGGGAATGGTGAGCAAGAATCTTGGATCCTTTCAATGGACGATGAGTCTAACTTGAATGGTAACGGTGCGTGAGTCATCCTAGAGGCCCCAAATGGAATGATGATCGAACAATCACTCTGCTTTGCATTCAAAGCCAGCAATAACCAAGCAGAATAGGAGGCACTACTAGCTAGCATGAAGTTGGCTACTGAAATGGGGGTCAACAACCTCATTATAAAGAGTGACTCTCAACTTGTCACTAGCCAAGTCATAGGCATATACCAAGCTTGGGACCTGCGCTTGGCCTAATAGTTAGAAGAGGTGAATGCTGATACCATCTTTTGACACGTTCTAGCTCGTTTAGGTGCCAAGGGAACAAAATTCTAGTGTCGATTTATTGTCCAAGTTGGCAAGCACCAAGAGACTTGGTAATAACTGGTTAGTCATACAAGAAACACTCACATCTCCAAGTATCACCATGGGTACCACATGCATACTCAACATAAAGGCCTAACACTCACGGATACACCCATATTTGGTGTATTTTTCACATGGCACGGAGCCAAGAAATAAAGACGAGAAATCACAATTTCAAAGGAGAGTGGTAAGATTCACCATGATTAGCAATAAACTTTTTCACCGCTGTTTTTCGGCTCCACTACTCCGATGCATATCCGAGACTCGTGTCTCGAAAGTTGTGGTGGAACTCCACGAGGGATCAAGTGAAAGCCACGTCGGAAGTTACAATCTGGCAACAAAGGTTCTATGTGCAAGATATTACTAGTCATCTGTGCATCGCGATTGTGCACAATAGGTCCGACGATGCCATCAATGTCAATTACATGTGAACGCCCACATTGCATCTCTAAAACCCCTACACGCCATTGTATCCTCGTGGCCTTTCCACAAATGGGGAACAAACATCCTCGGTCCTTTTTTATCTCTACCTAACATGTTAACTTCTTGCTTGTCACAATTGACTATTTTACAAAATGGATCGATGCCGAATTGGTTATGGTGATATCTACCTAGAAGGTATGCCACTTCATTTGAAAGACTATAATATGTCGATTCAGAGTGTCAGATACCATCATCACAGGCAATGTAATCCAATTCGCTAGCCATCAAGTTTGTGAATTATGCGAACATTTTCAAATAAAGCATATTTTCGCATCGAGCGAGCACCCACATACGAATGGTCAGGCCGAAGTGGCGAACAAGGTAATTTTGAGAGGCCTAAAATGTAGGTTAGGTGAGCAAAAAACACTATAGCTAACAAAACTACCCCATGTCCTTTGGTCATATACCACACACAATCCAATCTACTACACATGAGACACCTTTCAACATAGTTTACAGATTCGATGTAGTGCTTCCCATCGAGGTATCTGAGACCACTGAGCAAGTTGTTGGGTTCATTAAGAAGAATTTTGAGCGTGCAATCAGAACGATTCTCGATTGCATTGATGAAACTTGCGACCAGGTTCACATTAGAGTTGAGGCGGCAAAACACTAAGCATCCTTAGCTTACTTTACAAAGACTCATCCTCAGGCATTCTGGGTGTCAAATCTCGTCTTAACGCGAGCCCAACCAAATCAGATCCACAACAAGCTCTCAATTCAATGGGTAGGTCCTTATTGCGTGGTGAAGGTAATTGGGAATGATGCATACAAGCTAGAGACCCTCAATGGGGGACCAATCCTGTGAATATGGAATGCTACCAATTTACATTTTTATTACAGTTGATTTATTACATTTTCGTTGCTTATGTCTTGATGCTCTTTTAGTGAATAAATATTTGTACTAATGCTCTTAGAGGTTTTTTCTTCCCCCTTAGGGTTTTTCCTCCAAGATCATTGAATAAAATAAAATATTACGAGAAATGCTCGGCTTACACTATGACCCTTTGATGTTGGTCTACACAGCGACCTTGTGAAGTCGGTCTATAGGGCGACTCTGTGGAGTTGGCCTACAAGCAACCCTGTGAGGTCGACCTACAAGCGACCCTATGAGGTCAAACTACACTACGACCTTGAGAGGTCGACCTACGGGCGACTTTGTGAGGTTGGACTCTGCCACCCTATGAGGTCAATTTATAAGCAACCCTATGAGTACATTTTACAGGACGACCTTGAGAGGTCGAATTGCATGGCAATTCTGTGGAGGCGATTTATACATGATCCTATGAGGCCGATCCACATGCGACCTTATGAAGTCGGTTTACATGACTACATGCGATAACATAACATCGACTTAAGCAGAGTAATAAGTAACATAACAATAAGTAACAATAACTTAACATCAAACAATATGTATATAGAGTAGAACACTAGTTAACCATTTAGTCCAAAGTACTGGTTAATACAAACTTTTAATAAATATATTAGATATTATTTAGATATTATTTAATATTGTTAAGATATTGTTAGATATTAACCATAATATCAAACAATATCTTCTGTTTATTCTGTTACTTTCAGTTACTCTTTTAGTTGTATCTCTCACTATAAATAGACTACCCTATGTGTGATTTATACACAAGGGAGATTAATCCCAAACTCTATTTCTTCTATATTTAACATGGTATCAGAGTCAAAGCCTAACATCTTTCCGGTTATTGTCATGGGCCAAAAGTTGTCATTTAGTTGGATCAAAAATACCTTTTGCCTGGTCCGGCAGACCTCGTTGGAGGGGGTGTGTTGAAAGTCCCACATCGTCTACCTCAAGTCATTTGATATGGTTTAAATACATGTTAGGCTATTCCACATATTGCCAATTGGTTTTATGTTGGAACCTTAACATGGTATCTAGAGCTTAAGGTTATTTTGAATTTTTTTTCCGCTTTTAACCACTATTGAAGCCGCCACCACCGCCGCTATCGCTGTCGGTTATTTGGTAGTGTGAAAGTGCATGTCTAGGAAAGTTTTGACAAGGAAAGACGTGGTATTTAAGCATGTCCATTAGTGACCCACCTCTCTTTCCTGGGAACTTACCTGGTGTACTGGTTCACGCCGCTGTCACTATCGCCTCCGCCCTTTATGAGTTCTTCCGCTCCTTTTAGTACTTCCAATTCTGTCAGTACTGCGTCTGATTCTTCCATCTACACTAACTATGTTAATGTGCACTTATCCATTGACAAGTTAACTGGCCCTAATTATGTCACATGGTCATCAGACGTCAGATTATGGCTTAAGAGTCAGAAGTATCTTGATCATCTTGCCCCGAAAGCACCTCCTCTCACTCCTGGTGAGGAAGACCATTGGGACACCATTGATACTCAATTATGCATGGTTCTCAAGGGTACTCTTGATCCTTCGTTAAAACAAATTTTTCGTTCCTACGAAACATGTGCCAAAATCTGGGAACATGCCAAATTATTATACACTAATGATACTCAACGTCTCTATGATGTCTGTTCTAAATTTGTAGATGTTATTGCCCCTAAACATCAAGATTCTATGACTGATTATATGAGCAAAATTCATGCTATTTTTCATGAGTTCAATGAGTTATTGCCTCCTTCCCCCGACCCTGCCACCGAGATAGGACAACGATCAAAGTTCTTTATGCTAGGGGCATTACATGGACTTGCTGATCAATATTCACATATTCGTGATCAGATTTTGGGTTCTCTAGTTGTCCCCACCTTGACATCGACCTGCTCCACTCTTTTGCGTATACCAGCAAAACCCAACCCTGACACACCTGCTTCTGTTAATGATTCTTCTGCATTGGTATCTCACCGTGATGATCGAACTCACCCTCGCAAACAGGGAAAAATGCGTCCTAAGTGTGAACATTGTGGCAAGCTAGGTCACAAGATTGACCGAGTGTTATGCATTACATGAGTGTGAACATTGTGGCAAACTAGGTCACAAGATTGACAAGTGTTATGCATTACATGGTCGTCCTACTCGATCTACTGCAGTTGCTCGGACCGATCTTTCCCCACCTTTATCTCGCTAAGGATCCTCCTTCTTCTATTTCATCGGACACACTCGTTATGTTCAACAAATTTCTCAAATGGTATAAGGATCAACAGTCTTCTAGTTCCACCGTGTGCTGTCGCACACACAGGTACATCTTTTGTCTGGTCCGACCCAATCTTCTTCGGTCCTTGGGTTTTTGATTCGGGAGCCACTGATCATATTACCGGTAACAAATCTTTGTTCTCCTCTTTATCCTCTCCCGATCATTTACCTTTTGTTACACTAGTCGATGGCTCTAGAGTATCATCTCATGGTGTTGGAACTGTTAAACTTTTCCCTTCTTTAACCATTGATAATGTTCTTTATGTCCCTGGGTCTCCTTTTAACTCGTTATCGATCGGTCGTCTAACTTGTTCTCTTGATTGTGTTGTTTCTTTTACCAACAATTACGTGTGTTTACGGGACCGGAGTTCGAAACAGGTGATTGGCACAGGATGTGAGTCTCATGGTCTTTATCATCTTCGTCCCTTTACACATGTTGGTGCAGTTATAGAGTCTCCCTCTCTTCTCCATGCTCAGTTAGGTCATCCAAGTCTTGCCAAGTTACAGTAACTTGTCCTTGCCTTATCTAAATTGTCTAGTTTGGCATGTGAGTCGTGTCAATTAGGCAAGCATAGTCGTACTTCCTTTCCTCGTAGTGTCACATGTGGTGCTTCGTCCCCTTTTGTCATGGTTCACTCTGACATTTGGGGACCTAGCCGCGTTAAGTCTACTTTAGGTTTTCAATACTTTGTTACTTTCATTGATTGATTATTCTAGATGCACTTGGTTATTTTTGATGAAAAATCGTTCTGAATTATTTCATATCTTTCAAACTTTTTTCAATGAAATTCAAACTCAGTTTGGTGTTTCTATTAGAGTTTTGCGTAGTGATAATGCTCGTGAATATCTTTCTCATTATTTTAAACAATTCATGGCTTCTCATGGTATTTTGTGTTAGAAAAGTAGTTTTAGATCAAGAGGGGGGTGAATTGATCTTTGAAAGTTTTTCGCAAATAACAGATTATCTAATTCGAAAATTAAGTTTACAGATCTGTTCTTGAATCTCAAAGCAATCAATCAAAATAATACAGCAACAGAATTTAAAGGAGAGAAAGGTTAAGAAAGATATCACCGGTATTTTATACTGGTTCACCCAATACCAGGGCTACGTCCAGTCTCCAGCCAAATTCCAGCTGGGTTCCACTAGATTAAATGTTTTACAGATTCAACAATCTTACACCTAATCTATCACAAGAACCAAATTCCGGTTCACGCACTCGACCTCTCACTAAGAACCAAATTCCAGTTCTTGATAACCTCTACAACCAAATTCCAGTACGAGAGAAACCAGGTGGCCAAATTCCAGGCACCAACACCTAACCTTTCACCAAGAACCAAATTCCGAGTTCTTGATAACCTCTACAACCAACTTCCAGTACGAGAGAAACTAGTACCCAAATTCCGGGCACCACACGAGTACAAAAGAATGAAAAAGAATTGAAAAAGAAGAAACTAGAAAGCTCAAACCAGTTTATGCTATTCTGCAGGTGAGTTTCTTCTTTAAAGAAAAGCAATATGCCTCAAGAAAGATTTTTAAAGAACTTCTCAAAAGCTGCCGCGAATCTTTCTTGAAAAGAGTGCTAAAGTTGCTTGATTGATTGCTCAAGGATGTGTAAAAGCTGATGTATTAAAAGTTTCAAGCAACTCTATTTTTATAGAAGATTTTCAAAGCTGCTTGTATTAATTAATCTGTTAAAAGATTCTTTTAATCTGTTAAAAGTGCAGTTTTAATCCGTTAAAACTTCTTTTAATCCATTAATACGTTCTTGATTCTTTAACTGATTTGTTTTAAGCGATACGACAACGTTTATATCAATTAAAACACTTTACAAAAAATCTTCTAAGTTGATTTAATCGATTGTTTCAGCGATTCAATCGATTGAAATACTGCAAAAACTTTCTTGTAAAACTTTTCAAGTTATTTTAAGCTGATAAAAATAGGTTTTAATCGATTAAAACTACTGTACATAATTTTTCCAAGTTGTTTTAATCGGTTGAAACGTGTTTTAATCGATTGAAACAATTCGATCGGTCATAACTCAATTCGATCGATCATAAGCGATTATGATCAGTCATAATTACATTCGATCGATCATCCTAAACCTTTAAGTGATTTTAATCGATTGAAGCGTGTTTTAATCGATTGAAACGAGTCCGATAGGTCATAACTCAATTCGATCGATCATAAGCGATTCTGATCGGTCATAATTGCATTCGATCAATCATCACGAACCTTTAAGTGATTTTAATCGATTGAAACGTGTTTTAATCGATTGAAAAATTCTGATCGCTCATAATTCAAATCTGATCGATCACATCTGATTCGATCGGTCATATTTGTATTACGATCGATCATAATGAGTTCTAAATGGATTTAATCGATTAAAATCAAGTTGTGTCGATTAAAATACTGTAAAAACTCTTCTTTGAACATTCTAAGTGATTTTAATCGGTTATTTCAAAACTGTATCAGTTAAAAACATGTTTAAGAAAGCTTTTGTCAAAATACTTTGTTTTTAATTGTTTAAAACGATTTTAGAGGCATTTTGCAAAATCTTTTAAGTGAAGAAACCTCATGCAGCAGAAAAGATAAAATGATTTTACCTAAGCATTTTGTAGACACACTAATCTTTCTACTCTTTTATCAAAGTGACTTGTTGACCGCTGCAAAGTTGACTTTTGACTTCATCTTTGACTTCATCAAATCAATGAGATCTTTGCCAATGTATTTCAATAAGATCTTCATCACTTTCAGTCTCCCCCTATTTGATGAAGACAAACACCATTTTGAAAAAAAACTCTGCAAGAGAAGTCACTTGATAATACAGTTTAGTGAAAAATCAAAAATAAATTGTTTTCCTATTTCTCCCCCTAAAATGTTGCTCCCCCTAAACTTAAGAGTTTATTTCTTCTAAATTGATCTAAAGTAAAAGCAACTATTTCTCCCCCTTTTGACTTCATCAAAAATTAGGGAACAGAAGAGAAATAATGAACAGGTATGTATTGAAAGGATTTGTAGAAATAGAAAAAATTAGAAATACGATATTTTACTCATGTGAAGATCAATCAAAGTTGATTCAAACTTATCTTCATTAACACGTTTGTAATGAATACAATTAACACGTGTAAAGATAAGGGAATCACGCTTTAGTAGCATGTTACAAGAACAGCCATTAACTAAAGCCTTTAATTTTTCTTTCCAGAATAAAA